TCCCCACCCCACCCCACCCCACCTCACTCCCCCGCTGCACCTCCCCCTACACCTCCCTTCTCCTCCTCCTGTCCCCCTCTGTCCCCTTCCCTGTTCCGCCACCTGCGCCATCCCGAGGAACTTCGCGTGGGCACATTAGTAAGTCCCCACCCCACCCCACCCCACCTCACTCCCCCGCTGCACCTCCCCCTACACCTCCCTTCTCCTCCTCCGGTCCCCCTCTGTCCCCTTCCCTGTTCCGCCACCTGCGCCATCCCGAGGAACTTCGCGTGGGCACATTAGTAAGAGTTAACATGTTAGCTGTAAGAGTTAACATGTTAGCTGTAAAAGTTAACATGTTATCTGTAAGAGTTAACATGTTAGCTGTAAGAGTTAACATGTTATCTGTAAGAGTCAACATGTTAGCTGTAAGAGTTAACATGTTAGCTGTAAGAGTTAACACCCGCTGGCATAAAAAAGAGGAGGGGTAAATTTGGGATTTAAGCCAGCTGACATGTCTAATCATGGGCTAACATGTCTAATCAATTGCTGGCATGAGTTGGAATCATGATGGAGGGGCCTTGGGCACATTTTTTTTCCCAAAAAAATGGGCTAAAGCACATTAAAAAAATAGGAGGGGTTGGGGCACATTGAAAGTTCAAATTTGGGGCCTAGAAGCAATTTTCCCTTATAATAATAATTTTTAATATCTTATAATCTAACTAAAAGTCATTTAATAGTAAAGAACATTCTTGTAAGCAATTATCAATCAATAATAGTAAGTTTAAAATACATAAATAGTATTTATATCTTCAAAATGCATAAATATATATTTCATGATTATAAAAATTTATCCCACGTTATTTTATCAAAACATCACACTTCACAAAATTGTTCCTATCTATCCCATTAAAATATCCCACTAGCGAAAAATTATTCCACTTTTAGGGGGTGTTAGTCAATTGGGATATTTTCATGCAAAATGAGATAATTGTTAAAGTGCAAAATGAGATAATTGTTAAAGTGGTAATGTCCCAATTGACTAACACCCCCTAACAAAACAAAAGGAAAGACAATTAAGTAACTTTGCAAGTATTCCTATCTAACATAAGTGATTGCTACAGGAACGGAGGGAGATCTTCAATCCACACCATATACCCATCATTGTGCAAACATCCCCACACGAGTTAATACGGAAAGGGAATTAACTTGGATCACGAGCTACCATCCCCACTCCAATTACTGCTCGATCTATCAAATACAACCCCATCAAAGTTTATTTTTGTTACGCCAGCAGGAAAGGTCCTCCGTTCTCTAGGAATTAATAATCTATGTACCATAATGCTAGCCTCTTATGCATTATTAAAGTCACTAATGTATTTTCATGCGATCCGTATTAACTCTTCCCCACTCATGGCTTTACCCCGATGATTAACTTCATTTTAGTTTTTTTTTTTTTTCATAATAGCCAGCACACCACTATACCTAATTGAAAAATCTTGCCGTCGGATTTTCTCACTCATTAACTTGAATTTATGCAAGTTACCTTCCCCAACCATATACAAGAGCTCACACAATACATATCCACGGACCATCGAAGAGCCTGCACCAGCAAATAAATAGCAACATTTTTAACTCTTTCCAACAATTAGTTTTTTACAACATCGATCTACTTTTTACATATTTTGACTTTAATTTATTTTTTATATAAACACTCTTTAACTCCATTCTCTTCAATCCTCTCTCTGGCAATGCTTGGTTTCTTTGTATCGAAGACAATACACCAGCAGAATTAGCTTGTGCCTAGATAGATCTCTTGAACCAAATTTCATGCTCACAGTTTGTTGTAGCCTTTGCAATATAATGTGAAAATTAATCGCAAAAAATTTGATACACCATGTAGCATACTTTCGTTGAGGATTCTCTCCCAGCTCGTCAACAGTAACAGCCCGATAAATTATCTGCAATAGCCAACATCCAGAATTCTTGAAGTTGTAAATGAACCTGCAACAATAAGGAAAAGGGACTGGGATAATCGAAAAATAAATTGGCTTCGAAAATTGGCAGATATAAGCAGAAGGAACTCCTTTTGGTTGTTTGATGACGAATGTAGGCATTGATTGAAAAAGTATCACGGCAATAGTGATATAAAAGCAGGATAAAAAAATCATATCAAAATCATCAAAATATCGCCATACAGAACTTGGCAAATATTCTACCTGAAATATCAAGTACACTTCTAGGTTAAAATTTCAAACACTTAGTGAGAGTTCTATCCACAGAAAGTTGTTGATCTTCAGTAATTCTGTTCATTACCAATTACCAATTAACTACAAAATAACAGCAAAAGAACAATGAAAAACACATTACTATAACAACAAAAAACAGCCATACCTCATCAATAATCCATGGGAAGCTCCCAATCATCATCTACTACTCTTCTTTTTCGCCCAAACTTGCGGCCTCTAGAATTCTGCCTGCTTTGACCCTGAAATGAGCGAGCACCTCGTCTTCCAAAGTCATAATATTCATCATCATAACCACCAGCTCTATCAATGTGCTGAGCATCCCAGATGCCCTGGTACACAAAATATCCTCAACGAATTATCTAAAGATGCATTTACTCCTCAAATTTTAACAAAATATCTAAAGATCCATTTACTCCTCAATTTCTAATAAAATCCGTTCATTAGACAAATTTGGCTGCAATACAAAACATGTACCTTGGTTACCCTACGTACACGAGAGGCAGCACCTTCCTCTACTGTTACAGTGTCAGATGCTACCTCAAGCACATCTTCAACAAACAAACAGTAGGTGCTTACCTGTAAGGAAGGAAAATAAAAAATCCGGAAATCTGAAACTATGATCCACCACCAATCAAAGAACAATGCCCAAAAGTAGGAATCAATTTACCAGACTAGAAGGGATAATAGAAACCCCAAAAGAATCAAGCTCAAGGGACTCCACCGCTCCTGAATTTATGTTAAATGTATACCCACGGACCTAAGGATAAGTTTAGTATATAATGTCCATAATCTGACACCGTTTGGATCCATTGAAGAAGAAGAATAATAAAGAATGCAGAGATTTTAAGTCTGAGTACTCACCTTACCGACATTGCGTCGACCTGATGTGACAACATCATATCCTACCTAACAAAACAATGCATATTAAGAATTGTCTGAGGTAGATATTAAGATTAATACAACGAAAATAAAGGGGATAGTGCCAATAGTCCCTATATAAACACAAAGCAATCACTAATTTTGTCAAATGTCTAAAGATTACCTCTTCTAGCTACAAGTCCAATAAATCTTTTTTAGTCTTTCAAATAGAATAAGTAGCCTCCCTCCTTTTATGAAATGTCTAAATAGCGGTTTCAGCTAAAAAGGTCTTTTGGGGAATAATACCATGGCAATTTGAAAGGAATAAGTTCACAATAATCAGTCTTACAAAAAATAATAGTAAGATAGAAATAACTATATGTTAATGACAATGCGAAGCAAAATTTGTTTGCTAATGAAAACATAATTGTTTTGTGATACTTCAGGATCATTTCACAAATAGAAGAAAAATGAACAAGATAATGAATCCTACTATACACATGATACTAGAATAAGACAATCGTTAGAATATATAAAAATGAATCAGATATGGTTTAGCTGTTTGTCATCCAGCAAGTAAAGTTTGAATCAGAATCTTTAAGTAGCAAGGTTTAACAATGTCATAAAAAAATAAGATCATACCAAAGTATCTAGGCCGATCATTTTAAGCTCGTTTTCCATGACGCTCTCGTCCTGAACAAGCACAACATCCCCTACCTGTAGAGAGTAGAAAGTGGAACAAGTATAAGATGTTAGACAGGCTATGATTTAGCATGTGAAAGCTTTGTCCTCAATTTTGAAACTTTGAGCTAGATGGCCAAGTAAAATGTTACAAATTGCTCACCTCTGGTTTCTTATCATTAGTTAAGCTTTCAAGCATTACTTAACTATGACAGGTTTGGTTGAAGAAAAATGATCAAACAACAATGATTCAAGTACATACTTTTTTCATACGCAAGCAAGCAGCAATTGCATCACTAAAGAAATGATTCAACTTATCAAAAGACGGTAACCTTATTAGTGCATGCAAAGACAGAAGCATAACAATATGTTTGTGAAAGATATCATATAATCTCTACTCAAAATGAGACAAATAATAATAAGGTAAATAGATATTTAAACAATTTTCACACAAATGATCCAAAATAAAACAGATGCATCGAACCTAATCAATTCAAATACCTGGCATACATCATCAAGGAGAAACTTGTCAGCATCCCCGGAGAGCAAATTGGGTCTTACTTCAACTGAAACTACTATCCACTGAAAATAAAGCTCTAATGGTCTCAAAGTCGAAATTTTGTGCTACAAAATAACATAGGGTTAATTGCAATTTAATACCGTAAAGTTTCACCGATTTTAACTTTGATAACCAAAGTTTAAATTAGCCCAAACAATACTTAAAGTTTCACCATTTTTCACTTTAATACCTTCCCTTTTGTGATATCACTATTCCAAATTTTGTTTTGCTTGTGAGTATTCTTTAATAGGGTTTTTTTTCTATAGTTTAGTTCAAAATTAAGTCATTTACTACTTGGGAAAGTAAAGAAATGAATTAATACTTTAATTTCAAATTTTCAATAGATTTAGGACCAAATAGCTGAAGGTTGAAGGAGGGCATTCAGAGGGATTTCTAAATAGTTAGGTATTTATTGGGTAAATGTAAACTTTAGGATATCAAAGTAAAAAATGGTTAACTAGCATTTAAATATCACCTAGTTTACCCTACTTTGCACTTATATAGCCTCAACTGGCTTCTGGCAGCACTTATATATCATGAAAATTTTAAAATTGGCATGTTGGTACCTTCTATTATGCAACCGTGAGAATATTCCTTCAAACTTTTTCAGTGATGCTTGCATGCTAATTCTTGAACTGTTTTACATTCAATTTTTGTTGAATTTACTATAGACCTAATCTACTTCTATTTTAAAAAAATAATCATGGTAGATCTAAAACAGAATTTGAGTAGGTTCCATAGTAAAGTCAACAAACAATTATGGCTTTCAATCTAAAAAGTAGCATATAAGTGTCACAAGGGAGTGTTCAAGGGAAATATTCTCGCGTTTGAATAACAGAAGGCACTAAAAAGTGCCAATTTTAAAAACTTCAGGGCATACAAGTGGACCAAAAACAAGTGTCTGTATATTTATACAAGTGCACAGTAGGGGAAACTATGAGGTATTTAAATGCTAATTATAAAGAGAAAAAAAAACTTCAGGGTATTAAGGTGCAATCAACCCAATGACATAATCAAAATATCCAAAACATCATCTTTACCGAGCTAGTATCGACCCAGAGCTGAGAAACGAACCCCAAACTCCGAGCAGTCTCAACGCTGATCACTTGCTTCGCCAACAAGCTCGATCTCCTCATCATCTGCCTCCTCCCGCCTCTTCTACTTCTCAGTCCCCCATCGCCGCCATTTCCCAAGCCCTCGACTGGAAGCAGCTCGTCCTCTTTCTCGAGCTCCCGCTTCAGCTCGAGGAAATCGAAGGTAGAGGATCTCTGCTGCTCCTTATCGTCTCGGGAAGGATCATCGATTGGAGAATCGTTGTTGTTTTCTGAGCAGGCGGATCTAGGGTTTCGTTGAGGGGTTTTGTTGATGGAAAGATTGAATCTTTGGTGGGGGTTTTGGGGGAATTTTGAGGGTTGAGGTTGGAATTGGGAACGGAATTTAAATGACAATGAGGGAAGAGTAGCGCAATCGCACATTGATATTGCTGCCGAGGAAATGAAACGAAGGGGAAGGAGAGGATGCCGGCGCCTGTGACTGTCAGTTGAGTTTGATGCGATAAAAAAGAAAGGGATAAATTGAGGAGTTATCGGCAAGACCCCTAAAGTTTGGGATGGCTCATAAAACTCCATAGACTTCCATTTTTCTCCCTATGAATATCAACGATGTTGATGGCGTCCATGGAAACTATTTTGATTTCGATTTCATAGCTTATTGATCTTATCAAGACTCTTTCAGTTGGAAATTTTGATAATTTAAGGGTTTTGTTGAGACACCCCAATCTTCAACAGGTTTAGTAAAATAAAAAGGTGTTGCGGGAAACAACCCCATGAACTTTGTTGGGCAAAAAAAACTTAGTTGTTTCTTAAAAAAATATTACTTGCCCTATTTCCTCAATTGCTTATATGGCACAATATGTGTCACATTCACTTCCTAATATTTTGTTTCGATTACTCTTCCTTCAGAAGTGAGTGAAAATTGAGGTGAGATCAACATGTAGGGTTGTCCATTTCGGCCCAAGGCCAGGGCCCGAGCTCGAGCCCGGCCCGACGAAGAAGATGGCCGGGGTTGGGTAGCTCGGGTTCAGGTATGGTCTGGTCTCAGGCCCGAACCCGACGGAGGAATTTGGATCGAGCTGAGTTGGCCAAGCCCGTGGCCTAACGGTCACAAATGATGACTGTTGGACTGGTCGCACCGGTCTGACCAAAATAGCATATAACAACTATTTTTGGTCTTTTGACCAAAATATCCCAAAAATGGTCAAAAAGACCAAAATTTGAGGATATTTTGGTCATTTGGCTAGCAATTACCTCTATAAAAAGAGGGGGTTTTCATTTGTCTTTCTCATCCAAAACTCTTCTACTTTTCTTTATTACTCTATTATACTCTCTTATTCTCTCTTTCACTCTCTAATTCTCCAATCAAATGGCTTCCTCCTCCGATTATCAATGATAAGTTTCAACTCCTGATAGTGAAATGAGTCCTACTCTTACTACACCTATACCTACAGCTACTACTCCTATCGATATTGATCCCGAATCTGATGGCGATGATCCTACACCTATAGCTCCTAAAAAGTTGTGATCCAATGTGTGAAAATTTTTTTAAAAGATAGAAGTCACCAATGATCAACACGGTAAACTTCTCACCCATAAGGCTAAATGTGCATTGTGTGGCCATATTTTCCAAGCTCATCATAAAAAGCGATATCAACCACCTCAAACGCCATTTAGAAAAGCACAATAGAGCTCAAGCGACAACGTCTCAAGGAAACATTTGTTAGTCTCTACTCTCCCAATCATCAACCTCCAATAGCCTCGGTTCTTAGAGCTATGACGCAATTAAAACCAGGAAATGCGTTATCATGTTTATTGTTCTTAAAAACATTCCTTTTAAATTAGTAGAAGATAATGAATTTGAGGATATGATTAGAGATAATTTTCATCCCTCATTTAAAAAAATTTCTCCTCAATATTGTCAATGTGATATTTTGAAATACTATCACAAGGAATAAACAAAATTAATTTTTTATTTTTAAAATTTAAATTATAAATTTTCTTTAACTTATGATATTTAGACATCTAGTGCACAAACTGATTATTTATGTATCACAGCACACTAGATTGATAATAGTTGGCAAATGTTTAAATGAGTTGTTTTTTTATTACATTTGAAGATTTCATATATCAGTGTTAATATTGCAAATTTAATAATAGAAGAACTTTTAAAATTAAAAATTTCTGAAAATAATATTTTCTCTTTCGCTAGATAAATGTAGCTGTAGATCATATCAAATAATATTTGTTATTGTCAGTCATGGTGATATTTTTCATATTAGATGCATGTGTTATATTTTAATTTAATTATTCAAAGTACATATAATAAAATTAAACTCATAATAGAAAAAGTTAGGGTTATAGCTTATGTTGATAATGCTTCTGAACAAAGACTTAAAAGATGAAAACAATTATGTAAAAGAAAAAAAATTGAAATCCAAGTTAATTCTAAATGATGTTGATCATAGGTGGAATTCCACTTATGCAATGATACTGTAGCAATAGAATATAAAGAAATTATAAATAATATTATTGTTTTCTATGCTTCTAGTTCTAGTTCACGTAGTATGTATGGAATAGATGATGAAGATTTGACAATTATATATAGTGTAAAAGTGATATTATAAGTGATATTATAAGTTTTTTTATAAAGCTACTATAGGTTCGGTGAGGGAACTTTCCCATGATCCTTCGGACCATAGATGGTGAGGGAACTTTCCCATGATCCTTCGGACCATAGATATCAAACCCTGAGACGTGACTAAAACACATCCCTCAACAATGCATGACCTCGAATATTCTATGAAATTAGATTCGTGTGAGTGCTCACTAAGGGAGTCGAGTCCGAGGCCTCGGAGTGGTACTCATAGTCCGTGGCTAAGGGTACCTTGAATATTTTTCTCTAATTCTTTATTCTCTCCCTCTGATTAATTTTAGTTATGATGCAATTGCCAAATCTTTCGGACGCAAAATTTATATGAACGGCGAATGATGCAAAACTATTGCTACTTTAATAAATGTACATTCGATTTCAGCAGCAAAGCTCCATTTTGTTTCCTCTCGAGGATAAGGATCCTGACGCAACTTCCATCCAAAGAAGAATATTCCCTTTCAAATTTGTTATGGAATATTCGAAAGTATTTTTATTCTCACACAACAAATTAAAAAAGTAATGCAATTATCAATGGCCTCGGTTAATTCCATTGAGGGCCGAATGAGAAGCGGGGCACCGAGCATGGCGTTAGTGGGTCCCATTAACTTAATAAATTTTATGATTAATTAACTAACCTTATTTTTTTTTATTAATTTGTCAAGGGGTGTTTGTTTAATTTTTTTTTGGGATGCGGCGTGGATTTTAAGTTTTGGGATGTAAAAAGAGATTTTTTGGGTTTTAAAATTCTATAAAAATTATTTGTTTTAAAATAAGTTTTAAGATATTAAATCCCTAAATAATAAAAAAATAAAATATTTAAGGATTTGTAAAATCTTCTTTTTCATGTGGGATGTGATTTAGATTTCAAAAGATTTATACAAATTATGAATTTCAAATTCTAAAAAGTTAAAAAAAAACAAAAATATTATAAATTATAGTATTCCAAACAAAATTTTAGAAATCGTAACCCATTAGATTTTAAATGATTCGAAACAAACACGCTATTTAAGGATCCGTCCATCCGAAGCGCCCGCCAACTTGTGCCGCTCCAGGAACGCGAAACCAATCCAGCCAATCGTTTGTCGCCACGTGCCACGCGCAGCACGAGCCTCATTTTCGCGTGAACTCTTTCTCCCGATATCATAAAGATGCAAAAATTAGGGAATTAAATTAGTCGAGAAATCGCTCCGGTTCCCCCAAATCAAATCGCCGCTCTCTCAAAAGGTGAGCACAAATTGTTCCCAATTTCTGGTTGTAGTGTATTTTTTCTTAAGGATTCGGGCGTTAATTTGATCCGGATCTTGGTTGCTTAGGGCGATTTTGATTCGATTTTAGGGACATTCGTTATTTCTTTGGTTTTTTTCTTGTGTGGCAATTCACGTGGATTTTGGTTTCGATTCTTTGATCTGACGCGATTTTGTTGTGCAGTTTGTTATCATCTGTTAGCATTTGCCCTAAATTTTGTTCTTGCTTGATTCGGGTAGATCTGTAGATTTGTTAGGTTTTGGTATTTAATGTTCAATTTGTGGAATTTTTTTTTTTGGGATTTCGAAGAAGATGGAGGAGTTTTGAGAGGGTTTTCTTGAAGAGAATTTCTACATGGATTTGATTTACTGGGTGAATTTGGCACATAAATTGGGGCTTCGGAGTGTAGTTGGTTAATAAAGAGATTGGACTCGGCCAGTAGTTTATATTTTTTATTTATCACCTGTAAGAGCTGCTGACAAATTTCATTGGATATTGTTAGTTTTAGTTAAGTTTCTTATCTATAGTTTGAACTTAGTCTTGGGAACTTGTTTACAAATATGGATATTCTGAAAGAATATGTATTTTGCACATGGTAATGCATTTACTGAGATAGAGGGATCAATGAATGCTGTAAAGGAGATCGAAATGTTGTTATTTAAGTTTGAGATTTTGCAATTTGTCAGCTGCATGGGATCTTAGAAGCATTAACCTTTCCGCTTTTGCTATTCTATTGCTTAGCTTTGCATCTGTGCATTCCAGTTTACTTTTGGTCCATCAGATATTTAATTGTGGGTGCAAAAGCTTATATTTCCACTTTTTATGCTTTGCGTGATTGATTAAATGACTCCTGTTGTGAACTCAATTATCCAATTATATTTACTAAGTACTACTTATAAGTTCATCCATTGCATGCACTACTGAAGATGCAAATTAGATTAATTGTATATTTCAGTTTGAAGCTTTATTTGGAACTTTCATCTTTGAATCACTTTGCCACGTCAATCTTCCGACAACAACACAATTGCAACAACAAATACTTTATGCACAAAATTGATGTGCATGGACCATGTCTACTTTTTCTTATCTTCCTCATTGGTTTACGGTCTTTTCCGCAAGAATTTAATATTATCTATATATGCTTCTCTTACTCATGATCCATAACTAACATTTAGTTTCTTCAACTAATTTCTTAATTTTCACATTCAGTTACTCAAAACACCTTGACTTTGTGCTTATCTGTTCACTGAACAACAATATGTTAATAAATAGTGTGGGATCATTTGTCATAGTTAGCAGCTCTGTTTCAAGTTCATCATCAATATCGACAGAATATAACCTTTAGGCCTGTCATCTGGGAACTTGTTTGGAAATACCGTAATGAAAGGAATATAGGAGTTTGTGCTAGTTACTTGACCAAACATGTCAGCCAGTTCCTATAGAAGCTATCACTAAAATACCCCTAGAAGTGGATAGGGCTAAGCAGAGCGAAAAGGGTCTTCCATGAGATGGGAAATGAAAACTTTTAGCACATATTTCTCTTCTTTCTTGCAATATCCTGTTGCATAATGATGCAAATAAAGTTTCATTCTCTGTACTGTTTGCATCAATATCTCAATGTACATTTACATTAATATCTCGTAATATAGACCGTGATTATTGTTATATGTTGATTTTGTATTTAATTTTTAGTGCAGCTTATGTAGTTCTAAGTTTGAATATAGAATATGTTTGCTTTTTTATTTCTTACTCTTCTTTATTTTTCTCTTTGTTGCATTTATATGGCTAGCATTGACTCTTTCATTGTGCATCCTGTTTCATTTCTCATTTGCTTGGTGTTGACTTTTTGGAAATCTCTGAAACAAAGACTTTGCTGCTGTTTTGAGTTTATTGTTTTAGCATTTATGCTAGATATAAACCAGTTTATTACTGGAGCTGCTTAAACAAGCAAATAACACAGTTTTGTCCTTGGTAATTACACTAGAACTTTTTATGTTTGACAACTATAAGGAACTATTAGATTAGGGAAGATATTTAACTTAATTACACTAAAACCATCTTCCCTCTCATTTAGTTAAACCACAAAGAAGGAATAAAATATGTTCGGACCACTTTAAGCGGTTTAAGGCGAAACAATGTCTTTACATGTTTAGCTGGAATGATGCGTGATTGAGACCAGTTAAAACCAGCTTCACATTTAGCAGTCAAGGCTATAAGGTTTGGGACATTCCATTTGCTTTGAAACACTTGGTGTAAGGTGATGAAATATAGGGTTCATGTGGATTTACTTGCTGTGGGTGTATGTTTTAATCGTGTTGAATTTTAAATAAGGGATCCCACTGTGTTAGTATGTTATCTTTTTGATACTTCTAAATATTAGAGATTTAGGCTGTTGTGGTTCATTAATAAACTGTACTTCTCTGTTGTTATATGATTGGTAATTGAGCCTTGACTGTTTGTGAATGGCACTAACATGTGGACTTTTACCAACAGTTTAGACAACCTGATCTTCATGAGTTCAAGAAGCTCGGTGGCATCTAGTGTTTCCTGTGTTTCGGGAAACAAGGGCAAGTTCTCAGTTTTTGCTCTCCCAGGATTTCTGGGAGGTTCTGTTGTCTGTGTAAACTTCCAGTTATTCAAGGCCATTGTCAGAATTCCTTCTTCATCCGTTATCTTGGAGATTTGTGGAGGGAGCGGGCCTTAGCTGGAAACTTCTTCTTTCTTTTAACAAAGTTTTTGCGATTTTCTGAGTACTCTGTGGCCCATGGTTTCTCCCCAGATATCGGGTCTGAACAAGACAAGGAACCAGAAAGCTTTCAATAAACAATTGCTTCTTCCCATGGGCCCACCCGATGTTATTCCTTCTGAGAGTGTGGAATTCGATTTCTCTGATGTTTTTGGCCCATCGCCAACTCAAACCTCAATTGAGGTGAATGTGGTGACTTCCGATAGTTCTGTAGCTGCTGCTTCAGAAGACATAGTTTACAATGAACCTGTGGTGATTTTGAGCCGGTCACATTCTCTGGTCGGACCCACAGCACTTGTATGCCAATCTCCACGGCTCCGCATACACACATTGCATGAGACTGATTTAGAGCTCATAGAGTGTCCCTCTGGAGGAGAAGGGAAACAGGAGAGACCATCTTCATGCACTGCTGGAGAGCATGAAGAGACATCTCAGTCTGAGAATGTTGAAAGTGTGGGACTTGATGATTTTGATTTCTTGAAGGTTGTCGGCCAAGGGGCATTTGGAAAAGTGTTTCAGGTGATGAAAAAAGGAACATCAGAAGTATATGCGATGAAGGTCGTAAGAAAGGATAAGATTATAGAGAAGAATCACTTTGAATACATGAAAGCTGAGAGGGATATATTGACAAAAGTTGACCACCCCTTCATTGTTCAGCTCAGATACTCTTTCCAGGTATGCCATTCATTTGGAAATTTACTTCGTGTTTATTGACTTTAAAAACTTGTTCTATGTGTATCAGTTTGGGTATAGATATAGTCAATGATATTTTGTTGATGTGATAACTACAACCATAACAATTCAAACAAGTAAGCACACATGCATTTCGACTTGGACTTGTAAATTTGTATACACATCTAGATGTACAAAACCAAAGCCCCTTGACATACTTTTGTATCATTTTTGCTACTGTTTTTGACGTTGTTAAGCAATACAATTAGTTAGATCATAGTACAGATGGAATATTATGCAAATATGTCTGAAGGAAATATTGCATGATTATCGATCACTCCTTACTAGTTTGGATACTGTGAAATCTTTATCGTCATAGTGCCTAACTTTGAACCTTGTAATTCATACGAGTCCTTGGGGGAACTACCTGATAACTTTGTACTTGTATTTGTGGCCTTGCTAACTGTTGTTAATTAATCCAGCAGCTTGGTTATACATGTTACATTTTTAGGATACATTTATCTAGGATATACTTCTCTTTACAAGTTTATGCGGGCTCTAGGCCTAATACTGTGCTTGTCATTAAACATTTATCCTAAGCACTTCAGATAACCATTACACTAGTATTAAATTGCGATAAACTCTTGGAACATGTTCAATCCTAATGCTCGTCTCTATGCCATAACTAATTGGCCCAACAAGCTCGCATGAAGTTGAAAGATTTATGATTTTAGTATGGGTGTAAAAGAATCTGTTGCTGGATTTTTGTCCAAACCGGAGAGCAGTCACTGGTATTAAGTTGGGATCTTACCCTTATTGTTGTCGTCGTCATCGTCGTCGTCATCGTCGTCGTCGGTCGTTCACTCGTTCATTTTGACGAACGCTGCCAGTCACATAGTTAGCAGGATCCATACCCTGGTCTCCTCTCTCATGAGACACAAGACGCTTTACTACTGGAATTTTTACAGTTTCAGTGATTCTTACTATTAGATTTGTTTTGGTTATGCAGACAAAGTATCGATTGTACCTTGTGCTAGATTTTGTCAATGGTGGACACCTTTTCTTTCAGCTATATCATCAAGGATTATTCAGGTGGTTATATTACTTTTCTGCCTCTGTTCACTCTTTCGGATCAGTTGTCATATGCAATTGCTATTCTTTCTTCTATACTAATTTATGCTAAGTGTCTCAGAGAGGATTTGGCACGTATTTACACTGCTGAAATAGTGTCTGCTGTTTCCCACCTTCATGCAAATGGAATAATGCATAGGGACCTCAAACCTGAGAACATCCTTCTTGATGCTGATGGCCATGTAAAGTCCTATTATTTTATCATGTGTTTGTTACTTTCCAAGTACAACTGTTAATTCCTTGATGCATATTTTTCATTTTATAATCAGGTCATGCTGACTGACTTTGGTCTAGCAAAAGAATTCGAGGAAAACACTAGATCAAACTCCATGTGTGGGACAGTTGAGTACATGGCACCTGAAATAGTTCTTGGAAGGGGCCATGATAAAGCTGCTGATTGGTGGAGTGTAGGAATCCTGCTGTTTGAAATGCTGACTGGAAAGGTCAGTTTCTTTTCTATAGACAAACGTATGCCTAGGGTTTTGATCCATATATATGTTAATCAGGCACAGGTTTAAGCCCCCTTATCTTGTGTTCTAACACAGACATCTCATTGCCTGCGATTTTGTAAATAATCATCATCGTTTCTATTGTTTGTTTGTCTGCTATCACATTTCCAGCCTCCTTTCATTGGTGGCAATCGGGACAAAATTCAGCAGAAAATCGTGAAGGATAAGATAAAGCTGCCCGCTTACTTATCCAGTGAGGCTCACTCACTATTGAAAGGGGTAGGTCTACTTCATGACTTGTTCTTCATTTGGTATGTATATGATCATCATATGAGGAATGAGAAAAGAAGGGAGAACTTAGTCCCTATCTATTTCCATGCTTGCAGTTATTACAGAAAGAAGCAAGCAGGCGTCTGGGCAGTGGACCTGCTGGCAGTAACGAAATAAAGAACCATAAGTGGTTCAAGTCTATCAACTGGAGGAAACTGGAAGCTCGAGAAATCCAGCCAAGCTTCCGTCCAAATGTAGCAGGCAAGATTTGCGTGGCTAACTTTGAAGAGAAATGGACGAGCATGCCATTGACAGTCTCTCCTGTGGCAAGTCCAGTTGGGGGAAGTAATTTCAATGGATTTACATACGTGAATCCTTCTGTTTTTCTTCAGAAGCCCAGTCCTCTCTCTTCTGAACCCGAGTCCTCTTAGCTGAGAACGTCCATTGGTCAACTCGTTGATCGGCTTGCATGCTAGGGGATTGGAGATGTATGAACGATACCTCCCGCTTTATTTTTAATTTCTTTTAGTTTGTTTTGCTGTTATAACCAAGAAAGCATGTAATTGATGACTTTGCAAATCTTTTAATGGAATTCAGTTTATTTACGACATCTGTGTTATGCGTGTTTTTTTTTTTTAAGTTTGGATTCCCTCTCCTTTATATTTCAGATTCTTTGCCTAGAGAAGGGAAATTTGCTTTAAACCCATTCGTTTCTAAAGCTAGTCATAGTTTGACTAGTTAGCAGCCATTATGCAGTAGAGAGTTTACCTTCTCAATGATAATTACGCGGCATTTTATCGAGTGACTTCAATTTTGGAATTTATCCCAAGTTAAAAGGGGAAGTAAATTTAATTTATTGAGGTACGATGTTAGTTATATATATCCTGGCGATGAATCACAATTCCTGCAAAGATTATTTTGTGGGATACTTGTGGTTCACAAAAAAAAAAAATGTTTCGTGGCAATAATAATATCCAAACACAACGAAAATATTGCATTCAGGGAGACATTTATTATTTCATAATACGACAGCTCATACAATTAGGACATGAGATCATATAGCACAGTCCAAAACTCAAAACAGAACGAGGCAAGCTCCGAAACAACACGTAGCTTGCATCTAAACCACGGACTGACTCTAATAAAACACAAGAGTTTATAATTTTGTTCAACACAACACGCAACCAAATCAACCGTCATCAAGCCGTCTCCGCTTGACGCCCTTCGAGGATCTTATCGTCCCCAGAGATCTCCTCCAGCGACTTCCCCTTCGTCTCCGGCACCAGAAACGTAAACAAAAACCCCAGAAAGTTGACCACCGCGAGCGCGATGATCACCTTCTTAATCTGCCCATCTTTCTGATCCAGCGTCAACCTCTGCACGAAGAACGCCCCCACGATCG